AAAAAAAAAAAAAAAAAAAAAAAAAAAAAACCATCAGACACACATATTCAGACCATACACGCACTAGGACTTTCCTGGATGTGACTCCCGGGAATTACAGCTTGGCACCGATGTATCTGATCCCAATTACGTCCACATCCCTGTCCGACAAGTCCTACCTTAGTGCACGCACTGTGATCAAAGGCAGGGAAGAATTCCCTCCCTTAAAAAAATCGTGACCACCCTAGAGTACCAAAGCCACAACAAGTCAGCCAAGCGGGACCTTCGACGACTCTTCTTCTTCTTCTTCTTCTTCTTTTTTTTCCTTTTTTTTTTTACTCTGCTTCTCTAATATAATATAAGCCTATATTTTTCAAACCAAAAAAAAAAAAAAAAAAAAAAAAAAAACCCGGAGCGGTTTCTCCACCACGATGACGACTGCCGGCGGGGCATGATGTTTGTTCTTATTAATCCTCAAAGGCTCAAAGAAATCCCCATGATGACAGTGACGAATCCGTTCGCTCGGTCGTTGACTCGTTGATGCCCTTCTTCCCCCCCCATTTTGACTTTTTCCTCCCTCCTTCCGTTTTCCCCCGAGCACAACGCACCCTAAGAATGAGTGTTTACAAACCACCTTTTCGGTCCGAAGCAGTCATTATGAGGGTGAGTTGTGTTCGGCGGAAAACGGCAGCATTCATCGGATCGTTTTTTTTGCATATTACCTATATCATCTTTCGTGCAGTTTTGAGGACTGATTGCGTGAACCCGCCGGCGAGCTGCGCAGTTCAGGTCATCCTCACGCTCCACCGTCTTCACGGTCGCATTCCGCCGCAAATCGTTGATGGCGGCTATCACTGCGTCCTCGCTCGAAGGCTGTGCCTGCGCCACGATGATCACCATCCACGCGCACAGGGCCACTCCCAAGACCAACCACACACCGACGGCTGGGGAGAGCGACGCGCATGACATGCGCGGGGTCCAGGGCTGTGGGTCGCTGTAGCCCCAACTGCTTCTGGAGCGGCGTCCAGCCGGAACAGCCTGCTGATGCTTCCCCATGGTCATCGTCATCGCCTTCTCACGAAAGCCCACCTCGTCTCGGTGAAGATATTACTTGTATACCACGTCGCTGTCACGGCACACAAAGGCACCTCGACTCACGCACTCTCTTTCTCCCCTTGTTTATGTCAGCAGCAGCCGCAATTGCTACTACACGACTACCGCTTCACCTGAAGTGTCGTGTCCAGGACAGCCCCGAACCAAACCAACACCTCCGACTTCTACTACAGCTTCAACGACAATACAACATGCGTGCCGACGGATACGTATATAGTATACTTATATAGTAATCCCTCTCTCTCTCTCTCTTTGAGCCGCGTTCCACACCACTTTGAGTTCCAGTGCGACGAGAAAAAACGTCGTTCCGCCCCGCCCTAGAGAAACGGCTTTTTGTTTTCACATTTTGCATCTCAAGCGGCCCCTCTTGAAACTCAAGTGCGACCCACCCAAAATCGCACTTGAGGTTAAGTCACATCCCTGAGGTGCCTTGAATTCAAGAGCTGCCTGCTTGAGTTCAAGTCACCTCGCTGAGGTGCCTTGAATTCAAGAGCCGCGCTTGGGTTTCAGCCGATTTTCTTTTTTTTGTTTTCCTCCGTGCGTTCCTGGTTCACGCACGCAGCACGGTCCTCCTTGAAGTTCCAGCCAGTAAGGGCTACCGGAAGGGGGGACCAGGTTCCAGCCGTGGAACCCTGGAGGGTGGTGCCCGCGGATTCCAGAGAGCCGTTGGGGCAAATGCACTGGGCGACCGTTTCCGCGGGCGGAGTGTTTGGCAGGGGGTGATTTGAAACGACCTGCAGAGGAGGCACATGTAGTCGTTGGGTTTGGAGGTTCACGGGCGCCGGGCGGCGGATGGACGATCATGTCGCGCTCCACACACCAGTTCAAGACAAGCAGCATCCACCCCCGTTGAATAGCGGCGATTGAACATGCATGTGCTAAACTTGATTGTCGTTTCCTGTCGTATGTGATCATTGTGATGCGCTGCGACATGCATGGCAGACCATGGTAGGAAGGTGAAGCTACTTTGTGTCCTTCTCCTTCTCCTGCTCCTCTCGGTACTGCTGCATCTGTGCCCTTTTACGCGTCGTAGGCATCTGCACGTAAGCGGAAAAGGACGAAGTTCATCAAGCGGTTGGCGTGCAGCGGAGGGATGGGTGGCGACATCGGGGGGCACACATACATGTTCGGGGTCAGTGGAGAGGGGGGGGGTCCATCAGAAACACCCAGGTACGATCCTTCGCTTTATGCGCACCTGCCACCGCATCTTCAGCCACTTCCCGACGATGAGAATTCGGAGCCGCCCCCATCGACGTTGAACCTTAAGGACGGTTCCACGCAGTCCACATCGGACAGCGCTTTGGGGGCAGGAAATCTACGACAGAGGAAGGGGCCAATGACGTCCCTTCTGTTGGCTGACCTGCAGCAGGGGATGAGCCCACCCCTTGATATGCAGTTGTCTTTGGGGGCGAGGCCTGCCGCGACAGCAACAGTCATTGTCAATGCAGCTAGCCATTGGAGGGTGACGCATTGGTCAGCTATTAAGGTCGTCGCAGCAGTTCTCCAAGGTTGCAGCAATCCAGTGCACCAAGTAAAAGTGCCATCCAGGCGAGTAGAACTGCCACGCGACCAACGGCTGGGGTTCGAAGCAGTGCTGTTGGAGGTGCGGCAAGATGGGATACTCGGCAGGCGAATGTTGTGGAGCACATCATCGCACGAGTGTCCACAATGCGTGCCACCAGTGACCGGGAGACTGGTGTAGACAGGGTTGCGGACTGTGAAGTCGTGGAAGAGGTGGCGGACTACATCGACGAAGATGAAGATGGTGTTGAGGAAGAGGAGCCCTGGCCTGCGCTGAAGTGCCAGAAGAGGACGGCGGCGAAGAAATCTGGTTCAATGGGGCGGGGGAAGGGGAACGCCAAGGAAGCGGGGGGTGAGGGCGGTGGGGGAAGGATTATATGGAGTCTGGACTCTGGATGACTCCATCACTCTCGCCCGATGTAAGAGGGAGTGGGATGAGGAACGCGCAGCCGCGGGCCACAACTTCGCGCTGATGAAGAACAAACAGCGGAAATGGACTGACATGGCAAAGACGATGGGGGCGCAGGGGGTGAACCGTGATTGGGGCATGTGAATGAAGAGATGGGACAATATTTTCTCCTGGTACAAGAAGGTGCAATGGAGGGAGAAGGAATCGGGGTTGCAGTCCTTCTTCACGCTCACGCCGAAAGAACTGGCCGATAATATCTACAAGTTCCAGATGGATCGCCACCTTTACGAAGCCATTCATGGTGTTCAGCATGGGAACCAAACCATCCGACCCCCGAATCTGGTGGACACAGGTGCTTCTCAGCAGCAGGCTGCGAGCAATGGCGGGACGGGTGAAACTTCCGCAAGTGAGAATGGCAATGGTGATGGTGGGGAAGGGTCCGAGAGCAGGTCGTCGCGCAGGTGCAGGTTCTCGAAGAGGAAAAACACTCGACAGCAGGCTTTCGAGGCAGTGACGGATATGATGAACACACACTCCACCGTCTTCACCGATTCAGTGGACAGGGCCATCAAACGGCAGTGCGAGGTACTCCAGCAACAATGCAATATCATGGAGAGGGAGGTTATAGTGCACGAGACACAGTGCGGCGTTATGGATGCGAGGCAGCGGATCATGTTGTGCGAAGCTTTGATGAGGATCGCGGAGGCACTCTCCAGGCCTTGATTGACACTCTCCCGTCGGTGTTGAGGGCGGGAAACGGGCGGGTGGTTGGGGGGGTTGGTGGTTTGGGTGCGGCAGTTTTTTTTTACATGTGTCTCATTTTCGACATCCTCATATTCGTCGACCACCAGCCATTGGCACTGAATGAAGACCAATTGTGGCAGTGTATATTTCCTTGTTCTAACGGTAGATTCACTTGATTTTGGTCATCCTATCACTGGAAGTACCATGATTGTCTCTCTCTCTCTCTCTCTCTCTCTCTCTCTCTCTCTCTCTCTCTCNTCTCTCTCTCTCTCTCTCTCTCTCTCTCTCTCTCTCTCTCTCTCTCTCTCTCTCTCTCTCTCTCTCTCTCTCAGCACGAGCGCACACACACACACACACACACACACACACACACACACACACACACACACTCACGCAGGGCGAATGCCCATTTTCTTTTACTTATTTATTGATTGATTGATTGCAGGGAGGGCCCCACCCTCCTCCCCCCGATTACAACCTGCCATCCCCTTTCCCTCTTGTCTTTTATCGTGGACTTCGTTTTATTGCCTACATCCCTCGCCCATAACATAATAATCCAGCTTTGGCAGGAAATGTTTTTTCGTCTTCTTTGTGTTTTCCTTTCTTTCGTATGGGTTCTTCAATGGGGATTACCTTCGTCACGGAGAGAACAGATGAAGCCATTGGTACAAAAAAAAGTAGTCCATATCGTGGGACTTCGAAGCGGAGAATGAAATTGAACAAGTCACATGACACACGAAAAGGGCCACAACACATTTCAGAAAGAGATCCGAATCACAACGGAGTTGTAATGAAGAAAAAAAAAAGATAAAAAAAGAAGTCGGTAGGTTAGAAGGAAATCGCAGAAACGCCAGACAGTAGCGATTGCAACACCATTTCCGATACCAGTGGATTTCAAGAAAGACAACGGGACCCAACGACGCGCGTTAACAAACAAACTTGGAATTGTCAAAGGGAAATGATTCAAATGAATAAACCATCATCATAATGAAACCACAGAAGCGTTTCGCAAAAATAAAAACCACACGGCATGCTTTTCCCAGATGTGGGACAGAACACAATCCCTTGCTACCCACGTACGTGTCGGATAGAAACCCAGTTGGAATGGCAAATAACATATCATCACCCATCGCTGTCGACGTGCAAGCATAGATTTCTACAGCGGGCCACTCAAAGAACCAATCCTTCGTCCCCCAACCCTTCGACCCCCAAATCCCCCGGCCACTCAAGCACATCCTCAACCTCACAGATCCAAAAACAGCAAACGTGACATGTGGCGCCCCCGAAACAACGGCCACCCCCATTACACAATGCTTGGTTGCATTCGGAAGTTGAGGGCGTCCCGCTAAGCAAGGGCCGCTTAGCTGGCATCGGATCGGGGGACAAGGGTAGCAGCTTCAAGTTTTTGGATACCAGCATTGATAGGCTGCTCATTGTCGTCCAAGTCCCTTTCCATGAGCGAGCACTCGTCAAATTCATGCCAGCCTCGATGAGCAAGTTGTGCAGAATGCATACGGCTTCGAACTGTTGGGGCGAATTGTCCACATTCATCTTGTGGTGGCGGAGAAACAACCGCCACATCCCCTTCAGTCTCTTGAAAGCTCGTTCCACAACACACCATGCTGCCTTGTGATACGTGTCCTATGTGACCGTTCGAATGCCCTGAACGCGCGTTCGAACGCCCGGAGGACACGTTCAAACGCGTTCAAACGCACCACGCGCCACGTGGCACGTTTTTTGTGAGCGCAACCCACCCATTCGCATGCGCGCCTGGCGGACTATGGGTGGGGGGTTCAGTTAGTCAAAAAAAAAGAAAAAAAAAAGTGTATATTTCGATGTTCTAGCGGTAGATTCATTCGATTTTGCTCATAAAATGGATGGTTGGTTGATTGATTGATTGATTGATTGATTGATTGATTGATTGATGGATTGATTGATTGATTGATTGATTGATTGATTGATTGATTGATTGGTTGGTTAGGGGGGGTAGCCCACCCCCCACACACACACACGCACGCACACACACACACACACACACACACACACACAC